AGTCTCAGCCAGCTGGAGCGTCCCTGGAACGGGGGGGGGGCCCTTCCACAACAGCAGCGTCTGCTCGTCTCCGAGGTGCCACCGACTCCTGGCTGTTTTATCAAGAGGCGTCCCCTTGTCCTTGCCCGAGGCCTGCGGGGTCCCAGGCTGGCGTTCTCCATGGAGGCGTCAGTGAGATCTGGATCGTGACGCAGTCTCACTTGTGAGTCACGGAAAGGGTCTGCTCAGGCCAGGCGCGGGGCAGCCCCTGGTACGTACGTCTGCTCGTCTCCGAGGTGCCACCGACTCCTGGCTGTTTTATCAAGAGGCGTCCCCTTGTCCTTGCCCGAGGCCTGCGGGGTCCCAGGCTGGCGTTCTCCATGGAGGCGTCAGTGAGATCTGGATCGTGACGCAGTCTCACTTGTGAGTCACGGAAAGGGTCTGCTCAGGCCAGGCGCGGGGCAGCCCCTGGTACGTACACTGTTGAGAGGGCACCAGGCCAGAGGGGAGAGAGCGCGAGCATGTTCTCCTTGGCCCGACAGCAGTGCTGGAGAACAGGGCAGCGCTCTGCTTGGCTTGGAGGGGCGCGTGGGCGTCACTGCAGGCCCGCCGGATCACCATGACTGCCAGGAGGGTGCGGGGATCCGGTCGCCCTGCGCCACAGGACTGCCCACGTGCACCCCCCACCCAACGGGAGACTCCGCAGCAGTAGCTGCCTCCAGAGCTGGTTCCCCCCTTGGATCTTCTCATCGTGTCCCTCGCCAAGAGCGTGAGCCCGCGGATGGAATCGGGTCCCCGTGCCTGGTCCCCAGATGGACCTGAGAACAGCGTGGCGTGTGCATGAAGCCACGTTCCAAGAGGGGAGGTGGGCCGAGGAACGCCCTGGGTCTCAGAGCCACCTGGAGCGTGATGGTGCTCGTGGCCTGCGCCCTTTCGAGAGGCGGAGCCGCTCCAGCTGGCGTCAAGTCGATGGCCGCCCTATAAATTCTGTGCACCCCACGGGCGGGACAGGGCTGGCCTTAGGGGTGGGCAGGCTGGGCCCCTAGCCAGGTACGGTATTCGAGCCGGCCTCCCACCCACGGCGGGGCTTGGCGGCAGGCAGGGCAGCGCTAGAGGAGACAGATGGACTGAGCTGCAGGGGGAGAGCTGGACCAGCCAGGCGACTCCTCGGAACTAGGGGCTCTCCTCCTCCCCCACCACTGCTCGTCCCCTCCCTGCCCCATCCCCATGGAGCTCGGGCCTGGCTCCCCTCGGCTGTGTGGGGGAGGGGCGGATGCGCTGTCCCCCTCCCCCAAGCTGTGTACCCCCTCTTCATTGACTTGGGCTGGGGGACCAGAGGGAGCATGGCAGACTCCGGAACACTCTTCCTAAAGAGACAGAGCACCTACCCACGCCCTGAGGCACACGCGCTCTCCGCTAGGCATGGGGCTAACTGGGTAACTAGTCGGATGGGCAAGCGTACCCGCCCTGTGGGGGCAGCAGGTAAGGCCACGTTCGCATCGGCCCCACCAGAGAGGAGCAGGCAGGACATCAGCCCTGGTTGCGCTGGGCCAGCAGATGGGCCCCCGGTCATGCTGGAGTGGCCCGGGTGGGCTAGCAGATGGTCCCCTGGCCGTGCTGGACTGGCCCGGGTGGGCTAGCAGACGGTCCCCTGGCTGTGCTGGAGTGGCCCGGGTGGGCTAGCAGACGGTCCCCTGGCTGTGCTGGAGTGGCCCGGGTGGGCTAGCAGACGGTCCCCTGGCTGTGCTGGAGTGGCCCGGGTGGGCTAGCAGACGGTCCCCTGGCTGTGCTGGAGTGGCCCGGGTGGGCTAGCAGACGGTCCCCTGGCTGTGCTGGAGTGGCCCGGGTGGGCTAGCAGACGGTCCCCTGGCTGTGCTGGAGTGGCCCGGGTGGGCTAGCAGACGGTCCCCTGGCTGTGCTGGAGTGGCCCGGGTGGGCTAGCAGACGGTCCCCTGGCTGTGCTGGAGTGGCCCGGGTGGGCTAGCAGACGGTCCCCTGGCTGTGCTGGAGTGGCCCGGGTGGGCTAGCAGACGGTCCCCTGGCTGTGCTGGAGTGGCCCGGGTGGGCTAGCAGACGGTCCCCTGGCTGTGCTGGAGTGGCCCGGGTGGGCTAGCAGACGGTCCCCTGGCTGTGCTGGAGTGGCCCGGGTGGGCTAGCAGACGGTCCCCTGGCTGTGCTGGAGTGGCCCGGGTGGGCTAGCAGACGGTCCCCTGGCTGTGCTGGAGTGGCCCGGGTGGGCTAGCAGACGGTCCCCTGGCTGTGCTGGAGTGGCCCGGGTGGGCTAGCAGACGGTCCCCTGGCTGTGCTGGAGTGGCCCGGGTGGGCTAGCAGACGGTCCCCTGGCTGTGCTGGAGTGGCCCGGGTGGGCTAGCAGACGGTCCCCTGGCTGTGCTGGAGTGGCCCGGGTGGGCTAGCAGACGGTCCCCTGGCTGTGCTGGAGTGGCCCGGGTGGGCTAGCAGACGGTCCCCTGGCTGTGCTGGAGTGGCCCGGGTGGGCTAGCAGACGGTCCCCTGGCTGTGCTGGAGTGGCCCGGGTGGGCTAGCAGACGGTCCCCTGGCTGTGCTGGAGTGGCCCGGGTGGGCTAGCAGACGGTCCCCTGGCTGTGCTGGAGTGGCCCGGGTGGGCTAGCAGACGGTCCCCTGGCTGTGCTGGAGTGCATTGAAACTGTTTAATGGGTTAACTACGTTAATGTTCTTTTACATCCCTGTCTGATGCGCACGCTGCCCCCGAAGCCCTTAAAGGGTCGGTGCGCCCACCCCGCCCTCTCTCACACGCCCCTAAAAGCTCACGGGCAAAGCTCCTCTCAGGACAAGGGTGGGCTCTGCCACGCCCACGGCAGTTTGAAGCGCTGGCCATCGATTTTCCCTGGTCCGCGGAGGCTCCGTGCGCCTGAGCGTGCCCTTGCGCTCTAGAAATCCAGCCTGACTGAGAAAGCTCCATCCGCCTCTGAACCCGCCTTTCTTCCCAGGTCAGGTCCTTGCGCCCCGTATCGGAGGGAGCCGCCTTGGAGAGCTGGTGCCGGGCCCACGCTGCAGCCGCCTGCACTGCCAGGGACTCTGGCAGAGCGTGAGAGCCCAAGGCCACGGCCAAGCAGTGCTGGCCCAGGCTGGCGCAGGAGAACCAGCAGCCGGTGTCAGACTGCTGCCCACTGGGAGGGCCGCTCTGCTGGCCGAGACTCCTGGCCTGCAGCTCTCCTGCTGCCCTGCCCATGAGCGCGAGGTGTGTTGGAAGTCAGCCCGGGCAGCCAGAGGAGACAGAGCGCCTGCCTCACCTTGGCCCACGCTGAACTCGCTCCCGAGGCCACCGGAGCCATCGCTCTCGCCTCACCGGGCAATCAAGCAGGGCTCAGGTACGGCCCCGGGTGTCTGGGAATCGGGCTCCCACGATCCTTGGTACTGCCAATCAGAGGGACCCACGGCAAAGGCCACTGCTTGTCCTGCCACCAGGCATGTTTGGTTGGAGGTCGGAATCTGGCCAGGTCCACGCCCACCTCGCCGTGGTGCTGCAGACGTGCAGGGTGCCTCTGGCCAGGGTCCCTCTAAGCTGAGCGTCTGGGCAGCAGAGATTCAAGCGCCGACCGGATGATTAGCAGAGCACCCACAGCGGGCAGCAGCGTGTGTCCACTGTTGGG